ATCTCCAACACTATCAGGAAACTGAGACCATTTGTAAAATACATCCCCTCGCTCAGTTTCCTTCTACCTTGGACAGCCATTCAGTACGCCTGAAAAAGTATCAATTTCTGTCACTTCCCATATTTTCTCAGTACGCTCCTCTTGTTTCCGTGTCTCTTTTTTCTCCCAGTTTTTGGAGAAGGATGAACCCAGGACAGTAATCCAATTTTTAACATAACATTTTCTGACTGTAGTAACTAAATAACTCACTGGGTAACTCTTTGTCCCATCTATGTTACCTGGCATCACACTCAATGAAAGCAATTCTGGAGTTAGTACAGTTTCATTTAACTGTTGTTTAACATCTGATAACTTCTCTTTCATCAGATCTTCCATCTGGCTGAGATGTTCATTTACCTGCTGAAATCCTGTTATTATTATCTTTTGCATGTTAGCCTGCCATTCTTTATCTGATTTTTGTGCCCCTATTCCCAAATTTTGAGTTTGGGCAGACAAGGTCCCCAACATTTGATATTTTAATTTTTCAGAGGCCATTTCAAGCTTTCCAATTAGTAGGGTTTGTATAAATAATACTATATCCTTGATATAGTGGCCAACCCTCAAATATCTTTCCGAAGTTTCCACTGTTGTATCAACAAACCAAACCCAGAATCATAAACCTCCCCTAGGTTCTTCCTCCCATCCTTACACCGATATTATAATATATAAATCAATTTTTAGCTCAACAATTTAAAATACAACCGTGGCAATATTATCAGAGTCCCACACAGTCCATCCAATAATAATCCAGACTAAACAGCAGACACAGGGGGGCAGTCTCTCCAGTCGATATCCTTATGATCCCTCCAATGTTCTTTCCATTAATCCAAAGATTCAGTAAATGATAAAAGCTCCAGTCCTGGTTTTCCTAGCTCCTCAGTCCAGTCGCCTACTAAGGATCAGTTTTGTTTTTTAAGAAGCAGGCTGGTAAGCAAAACTTACCACTCCTTATCTTCTTACGGCTAAGTATTTTCACTCTAATTTCTTTTTCACCTTAATAAGGTGGTTCATGAATCAAAGGCTTCAAATTACTTTGTTATTGTATATTTTCAGTGCTGTATTGCTTGTTCTCCTCTCCTTGGGGGGTGGGGGTGGAGTTGCTCACAGCTCTCTGCCAAAATGGTTCCTGCATCCGATCTGTGCTCGGATGAATTTTCAGAGTGGACGAGTCACCCAGATAGGCGGGGTATAAATCAAATAAATAATAATAATAATATCAGTTTGCTGCCCAATTTCTTCCTTCTGATGCTCACCAACTGCTTCAGAGAGACCTCTCCTGGTCTCCCCTTCGATCCCCCATTTCTAGAGGGACCCCAGACTGGGCGGTTCCAGCTTTTCCTGGGAGCTATTCCCAGGAGCTGCTGGCAGCAACGCGACGACGCTCCACCCCCACTGCAGATTGTTCTTCGAAAGCATGGTATAAATGAGTGTGAGATCTTCCTTTTATCATTTATGTACAGTCATATGGGAATAATATGATAAATTCTCCAAGAACACATGGAGATTCTTGGAATTATATGATGGAGGTCCCCAGATAAACCCTATGACATATCTAATTTTAGAATGTATCTTTTTACTAAAGTATAATTAAAACATCACCCAGTAGTTGGAAATAAGAATTTAAGAAAGGTAAGTGATTGGCCAATATTATTAGAAAATCAATTGGAAAACAAGATATTTAGCTTGTTGTCTGGTTGTTGTTTTTAAGCACTGCATATTGCCCTAATGTGTATAATCACATTAGGATTTTTCTTTTTCTTTTTTGGTAATGCCATATATTTTCTCACAATAGAATTTTATTAAACATATTTTTAAAAGTGTCTTGAAACATTCCTTACAACATTTCTTAAAAGCAAATGAGGACCACACTAAAAACTAACTTCAAGACTCCCCAAACTGAATGAAATAACAGTGTATTGGTCATTTGCTAAAAAATAAATAGATAGGAATAAAGCCAGTCTGACTTTCCTTGGAAGGAAGTTCCAACATCAAAGTGCTGCTGCTGCTGCTGCTGCTCCTACAAAGAAAATATGTGCTGTGGTTGAACTTCACCACACTGTATGTGCCATTTATTCTAAGGGCCTGTGTATTCTGTTTTCTGTAAGCAACATTATCTAAATACAAGCACATGGGTTGATTTCAGGAAACTAACCTTACCAATTCTTTCTTTGCCAGACTTTCAGCATAAGCCACTCCCATCAAGCATACTCAGCAGTCAGTGGTAAGGAATGCATGGCCACACTTTGTTCACCCCTTCACTCCCAGTTCACATAAAATCACTCCCATCCCTTGAACTGCTTTACCATTGAGTATAGGCCTCCCTAATCCAGATGTAGTGGATTACAACACCTATCATCCCCAGCCAAGAAGGCAACTGATTAAACTTATAGTTCAGCACATCTGGAGGGTATTAGCTACTGAAGACTAAGCTAGCACCTTGGTACAATCCAGTAACTGACTCCATGCAGTTGTAGCTTCTATTATGATAAAGGAAAAAATGTGCTTATGTTCTTTGTTGTTTTCTGTTCAACTACTCACAAAAAGTAGTATATTTCTGATAAACCACATCCATATCACATAAAAATGTAATAGTCAACCCTTGACTTACAAACATGCCTAGTTACAAACATTTCGACTTACAAACTGCTCTGATAGAAAAATATTGACTTGATTGGCAAACTTAGATTCAAGTTATGAATCGAAAAAAGCACACGGGAGGTGGGGAAAGCATGAAATTTGAACTTTCAGTTAACCATTGGCCAGTGAAGAGGGTGACTGTCTGCTTCCTCGCTCTTCCCAGTGTTTTGAGAGTGGATTTGAAGACAGTCTTCAGACTGCCTGGTATTGCCTGGTACAGTGCTGTACGGACTGTATTTTTATTTTTTGGCTTTTTTAAAATTTTTGATTTTTGGATTTTTAAAAGGTGTTCCCTCCCTCCTTTGCTGCCCCCTTTTCCCCCAAAAGGTGTTTGTATTGGCTTGTCTTGATTAAAAAGGTGCTTTTTAAGGTGATCTGTTGTCTGAAAGGTGCTTGTTTTTTCCCAGAAGGTGCTTGTCTTGGCTGAAAAGGTGCTTTTCAAGGTTTTCTGTTGAAAAGGTGTCTGTTCCCTCCTTCCCTCCCTCTTTTCTTTCCTTTTTTTAAACCTGTCATCTTAGGTTAAAAGGAAAAAAAGAAAAAAATCTGCCCCTAGTGGTAGGAATGGATTATCCGGCTTTATATTAGTTCCTATGGGAACTAATGATTTGAGTTACAAACCACCCCTCGACCAAAGAACCAAAAACAGCCGGAACAGATTAATTGGTTTTCAATACATTCCTAGGGGAAATGCAGAAAACAAACAAACCATGAAAGACCCTTCGGAAATGCAAAAAAGCAAAACAGAAAGCAAACAGACCATGCAAGAGCCTTCAGAAATGCAAAAAAAGCAAAGCAAAAAGCAAACAAACCGTGCAAGACCCATCAGAAATGCAAAAAAGCAAAGGAAAAAGCAAACAAACCCTGCAAGACCCATTGGAAATGGGGAAAAAACACCAAAAAACAAACAAACCCTGCAAGACTCATCACAGCACAGAAACATAACCCCCCCAGCCCAAAACCACGCTGCAAAATCCACCCAGAATAGTTTTTAAAAAGTAGAAAGCAACACCTTACCAGGCAGTCCAAAGCCTCCTCTGATCACACAGTCTCTACCTGCTGGGGCGAAAGAGCTACAAACAAGCAGCCTCTTTGCCATCAACGGTTAGCAATTTGAATTCCCCGCCTTTTTCCCTTGCCTTTTTCTGGTTGTAACTCGAAACTCCGGTTGCAAGTAGAAGCAAAATTTTGCGGCCGGAGCTGGTTGTAACTCAAAATGATTGTATGTCAGGATGTACGTAAGTCAAGGCTCCACTGTATATAATGCAAAGGAAGCCTTTAAAGTTTTTGGTGTTTCCAGAAGAAATTTTTCACAATGTAAAAGCTATTTTGCCCATATCCTCGGTCTGTTTTAGGCCTGAAACAGGTTTTTTTTAAAAACAAGAAGTGACCCTCAAGAGATACAAGAGAAGAAGAGACCACCAAGTCTTGAAATTACCACCAGACCCTCCAGTCGGCCACTATACCTGCTTTTTTTTGTAAAAAAAACTATGAAAAACCAATTTTTCACATTCTTGCAATGCATTCAGCATTTCTACTTAAAAGCCAATTAAGCTGTAACAGCCACTGCTGAAACAATTAAATTGAACATCAACTGCCAAATCCAAAGTTTACAAGTTAAACTTTAGCAACAACTATAGAAAGATTAGTAGAGCTGAACAACCACAATAGTTCTTCAAAACTTTATTTATAAAAACATTGAAATATATCATATTCAAAAGAGTGTTTGGGTGTATGTGTGTGAAACACTAATGAAATCAGAATACAAATCACAACTCCTTTTAATTGTTAGCACCAATTTAAGTTAAATTGTACTCTAAAATTTGGTTGCTGGTTACATAGAAACTCCAGCATTACAAAATGTAGCATTTCAACAGTAACAAAACCCTTTTCCAAGCTCTCTAAAAATATCATATAAAGGAAACATTTTAGAATAGAATTTATATGCTTTACTATCTTACCAAATGAAATTATTCTGAATATCTTTTTGTCACAAATCTTTAACCATGGTTATAGGAGAAGGGCTTGAAAACCGCATTTTGTGTCCCTTTACAAAGAAGTTAAAAAAACACTTAACACACTGTAGTACAGTCACCATACTGTAAAAAAACACAAAACTGGGCTTATAAAATCTAGTCTATAAAAGTACTAAACGGGCTACAAAATTGAGCATTAAGTCAAGTTCTCCTTTGGCCACATGCAGCCATTACAAGAAACTGCTAAACACACTGCTTTTTATCACAGTACAAATGGACTGAACGTATAATCAAAAAGATCCCCAAGTAACATATTAAAGTTAGTGTCAAAGTCTTCTAGTCTCTACGTAACTCCTCTACACTTGTAATTTTTGTTCAAAGTACATGTAAAGTGCTAAAAGTGCAAAGAACAGAGCTTTTCTTTCCATAGGTCTTAGGGTTTGCTTTGTATGTAGTGTTGCATTGTACTTCTAGATAACTGGGAGCTATATCATTAAGTTGTAGTGCTCCTGCATGGATTGGTCTGGGATCAAGGACCACAGGATAAGGATGGGACACAACTCTGGGGCACAACTCCAACAGTCCTTTATCATCACCAACACCAACTAGGGCTAATGTGAGCAACAGGCCAAAATATCTTGAGTGGGAGAAATTCTGCACACTTGTAAAACAAGGTATTCCCAACAGTGCTGGAAGTCACTGTATGCTGGCATGGAGATTTATTACATGTTCCAGCCAATCAGCATGAGAGCCATGTGATATATAGTTTTCTGACATGCAGAGACCGTCTTGACACCATCTTTAGCTCATATGAAAAAATTCCTGTGTGGTACAAGATCAAGCTTTCTAGACCCATTTGGACAAAAAAGCATTTGAATGCATGCACCTTTCAAAAAGTCAGATTACGTATAAATCCTTTTTAGCCCAAAGAACAAGATATTTGGGAATAACAAAGCATTTGTGGAATAAAGAAACACTTGTGGTACTTTTTGTGTTTCTTTACTGGGGCAAACTTTGCAGTGGAACAGCACAGAGCCAGCGTATAGTCGTCTAGTTCTTCAAGCAATATCCATTTTACAGCAGCTAAGAGACAAATCAAGTTGAGCACAAAGTTTGTGCACTGTTAGGATTAACATTGTACACTTATGACATTTTAAATTAATCCAGAATGAGCTTGGCAAAAAAATAATAATAACCAAGAAATACTCATTTGCACATAGGCACACTAAGATTCGACAGTGTCAGCTAAGCTTCTTTAGAGACTCATTTCTTGATATACCAAATATAACCTTTTATTTATCCCATTTTTTAGAAGGGTCTCTTCCGACATGCATCATAATAATTGGTGCTATTAAAAGGAGAAAACATGTCCTGCTTAACAAAATGGACAAATTTCTCCAAAGGGCACATCAACTTGCCATGTTTGTTATGATTCCGGCAGAAGGAAGTCTGGAATGTGACATCAACACCATTATAAAGGATGCGAATAATGTGTTCTTTATAATTCTTCACGTCCTTCCAGAGTTCAAAAACTAGTCTAGCTGCAAATCTTGGAAACTTGGCCTCTGTAATGCCTAAGGCACTAAGAACAGGTGACAAGGTGACATCATGAGCAGAGTAAAGGACAAATAGCTCTTCTTTCTTGCCTTCTGCAATGCGCTGCATACGACTGACGGTCTGGTTAAGGATAGGGTGAGTGGCCAGTAGTGCATACAAATAGTAGTATTTCTTTTCCTGCCTCTCCTTTTCATCTTCAAGTTGATGGGTCTTAATTACTTTGAAGTGCTCAATGTCTATGCAGCCATTCTTAGTACACGGGAAACTGACATTATGGCAAAAGTGGCACAGCATAGAATCTATAGGATTAGAAGCCCTTAACTGCCTTGTTGGTATGCCAACTACTCTTGCCATATCTGCGTATGTTTTCTCCAGGTGTACATTTTTCACCCGTAGGCTATACTGGCGACGCTGTTCCTCCTCTAAGTAATGATTTCTTACTGGGCAATCACAATTTCCAGAACAAAAAATTGTGCTCCACTGGTTCCTAAAGTTGATTTTCTTCCAGTCAAACTCTGGCAAAAAGGCATAGAGTAATGCCAGTCCACTCTGTAGTGTTCGACTCTTTCCAGTTGTCTCCAAATACAAATGCTTACTGGTCCAGTCACTTGGTATCAAGTTATGCTTCTTTATATAAATATCCCGCAGTAGCTGTCCATTTTGCAAGTGCTGTACAATCCCTTTGAGAAAGGAAAAGATAATTATTCTCCTACAACCATATCTAAGACACTGGCTTCCCCTTGGGGTGGCTGTAAATTAGCACTCATTGGACTAGTGTTTAGTGTAATAAAAAAAACCACAACATTTTGATTTGATTTTGCATTACACAGGACAGCACAAAAAGGAACAGACTGCAAGTATAGATTAACAAACCTTAATTAGATGTCAGTGTTCCATAGTGCTCTGTCAAGTAGGAAAAGGGAACAGCTGCTTCAATAACTTTATGATAAATAGCTTAGGCATGAATAAGAGGTATTCAATGTGGAAATCAGTCCTGACAAGCTACAAAGCACACAATGAGCTTGCTCCACCAAAGCTAATCAGCTTTCAGATATGACAGCACAGCTTAATGTCTACGAAGCAATTTTGTTAATATTGTGTACAAAACAGAAATACAAAAACTGCACAGTCAGTTTCAAAGAATGAGTCAGGGCCGAAACTATGTTACAGAAGGCCACCTTGCCCCCCCCTTTTTTGTTGTAAACATGAGTAGGTGAGATGGGGCTAGCACTGACTACTAAGAGGTGGTATCATAAGACTACTATGAATTAAATTTCTTGAGATGACTGTATAATGCAGTTTTCTGTATGAAAAGAAAGAGACTGAACTGGAAAGAAAGTGACCCCACCCCTCAAAAACATTCAGTGGTGCCCGCAGAAGGCCTGAATGACTGTGCACACAAGGAGGGAAAAAATAACGATTTCTGATATCCCTCCCAACCCCCAACCCCCCAGAATCAGGAATGCTGCTTGCCACAACTGTACTGGGCAGCACCAACATTTCTACTGTAAAATCATTTTTAAACATTTACCACAGTAAATGCAGTTCCAATTAAAAGAGACACTACCACCCCCAGCCTCAAGACAGCTGCGTACATACCCGTCTGGGTAAGTTCTCCCATTTCACACAGCAAATGGTTGGGGTAACGAGGCATGCTGCTCAGAGTGCCATCCATTTGGGCTTCTGCTCCTTTAGCCATATGGTTGATGAAAGCTTCAAGCTGAGGATGGGAAGGTTTCCTAAAGAGGCAGAGCAAAACAACAACAATAAAACTATCTAAGTGCAGGAGAAAAGCCATACAGATTAAAGTGTCCTAATTATGTCAGTTCACCTCATTTCACAATGAGGGCTTATCTCCTGCTGGGGAAAAGTAGTCAGTTAGGAAAAACGAGAAATCTGCTGTCTTGCAAATGGACACTAATATCTCAAGAACGTACACAATGGGAGAGAATAAGAGAGAAAGACACAAGAGCTAAAAATATAGCTGACAATAAGTCAGGTACCAGCCTTTTAGGCCCGTGCCACTTTCCCTTTTACGCTGCCACCAGCTGATCTCTGTCAACAATGTTTACTTAGAAAGACTGAGGTCCATACTGTGTGTAAGTTTTAACAAAACAGGTTTATTGCAAACAGTTCACATAAATAATTGCGATTTGTTAATTGCTGGCTAGAAGCGAGCTTCTGTTACGCCATTTGCCTTCTGCATGCTTAGCAAAGAAACAAGACTTCAGCCAGAGATTAAGCATTTCCCATTAAGCATGCAATGGATAGGATTATTTTCATTTGTAACTATTATTCTTTATCGAAACTTCTTCAAATTCTTTACAAGAGGGTCTCTCTCTCTCTCTCTCTCTCTCTCTCTCTCTCTCTCTCTCTCTGTGTGTGTGTGTGTGTGTGTGTGTTAACTCTGAGGTAAACTTACTTTTCAGGTCTTGTTTTTAGATTTTGGATGTGTGTTGTTGTAGGAGAAACACTCTATTGAACACATAGCATGGCATCTGCAGTTGTTAACTTACAATATATAAATAATACTTATTTTTCTTTCGATTTAAAATATTTTTCTTTAAACAAAAAGTTGCCCCATCAGCTGGGAAATATTTCTAGTTAACATTGTAGCCCTTATACACAGTTTATTTCAATTATGCTGAAATAGTAAAGCCAGATTTTTTTACTTATGTCAGCATAATTTATTTATTTATTTATTTAAAATATTTTACCCCACCTTTCTACTTAACAAGGACTCGAGACAGCTTACATCATTAAAAGATAATATTTATAGTTAAAAACAGTAAGTATACAAATACTAAAAAGGATCAAAGGCAGTAAACAACACAAAGACACCAAAAACACTTCCAAAGCAGTAAGGCAGAACCATACAGTGGACCCTCGACTTACAAAGATCCCTACTTATGAAAATTTCGAGGTACAAAAAGCTCCGGTCGCAAAATTTTGGTTTGACTTGCGGCCAGAGCTTTGACCTACGAAAGACGGGGGAAAGGGTGGGAAATTCTAAGCTGTCCCCGCTGCCCTCTGCCTCTTGTCCCCACTGCCCTCTGCCTCCAGTCTCCACGGGGAAAGGAGGCAGAGGGCAGCAGGGACAGCTTTGGAAGCCCAGGAAGCCAAAGGCTGCCCTGACCTCCGCGCCTGCTGCCAGCTTTCAGCTTCCTGTCCCTGGAAGACACAAGGGCAGCGGAGGGGGTTTGGAAGCCGGGGAAGCCAAAAACTGGCAGCAGGTGCAGAGCGCCTTTCGGCTTCCAAAGCTGCACCCGCTGCCCTCTGCCTCCTGTCCCCATGGGGACAAGAGGCAGAGAGCAATGGGGATGCAATACAGAGGGCAGCGGAGGGGGTTTGGAAGCCTGGGAAGCTAGCAGCGGACACAGAGGTCGGGGCGGCTTTTGGCTTCCCAGGCTTCCAAAGCTGCACCCGCTGCCCTCTGTCTTCTGTCCCCAGAGGGCAGAGGGCAACAGGTGCAGCTTTGGAAGCCCGGGATTTTTTTTCCTTTGGCTGAAATAGATTAAATGGTTTTCAATGCATTCCTATGGGAAATGGAATCTCGAGCAACAGACTTTTTGACCTGCGGCCACTATTCCAATATGGATTAATTCCGTAAGTCGAGAGTCCACTGTACATTTTTAAAAAATCATTCAGCAGTCAGTGATTAAGTGAATGTTTGCCTGAAGAGAAATATCTTTGCCTGCATGTGGAAGGACAGCAAAAATAGAGCCAGCCTGGTTTCCTGTGGGAGGGAGTTCCAGAGTCTGGGAGCAGTGACAGAGAAGGTCCGCTTCTCTGCCCAGCAAACACACCTGCAAAGGTGGGAGAACTGATAGAAGGGCCCGTTTCTCTTAACACTGAGGCAGGTTTATAAAGGGAAACATGGTCCTTGAGATAATTTGAACCAAGTCATTTAGGACTTTATAGGTTAGAATCAGAATTTTGAATTATGACTGGAAACAGATCAGCAGTCAATGGAGCTGTTGCAACAGGGGATTATGTGATCCCTGCGGCGAACCGTACTTAGCAATCTGCCAGCTGTGTTTTTGACCTGTTGAAGTTTCCAAATACTTTCCAGTGGCAGCCCCACATAGATTGTTATAATAATCCAGCCAGGATGTAACTAAGGCATGTGTCACCATTGCCAGATCAGACCTCTCCAGAAACAAGCACAGCTGGCACACTAGTTTGAACTGTGCAAATGTCCTCCTGGCTACCACTAAAACCTGGTCATCCAGCTCAGAGACGAATCCAGGAGCACTGGACAAGCTACATACCTGTGCTTATTAGAGGGAGTGCAACCTCATTCAGCACAGACTGCATCCCTGTTCCTTGGTCTGCCTTTTGACTGACCAGGAGCACCTCTGTTTTGTCTGGATTAAGTTTCATTTTATTTACCCTCATCCAGTCCATTAGTGGATGCCGAGATGTAACTATAGCAGCAAATTACTACTAGTTAAGAAATCAGTGCTTGCATTACTCATTGAGCACCAGTCACTTAAGTTGATACGATACTCCTTAAGTACTGGGAATTCACTTCTGAATTTATGACACTGCACTTATGTTGTAATATTTAAGTAACAGGATTCTGGCTCCTCTTAAAGCCAAATACCATTGATTGCACACACTTATATTTCTAATATGACTTTAATATTTTGTTCTTAGATACAAGCTAAGTGTAAACTGAAATGCAGGAGTTAAAAAGCAGAAAATGTAATGCATATTTGAAAAATGAGGCTTGATTAATTTTTGATGTGACAATGTCAAATAATGTCACCCCATCCATTTTACTTGGTAAACTTTTCCGCTCAGGAGTGCCCTTGACTCTTGAAAGGAAGAACAGTGGAGAAAATTACAGTTTTCAGTAATCTATGCTAGTTCAAATAATTGCTTGTCACATGAAACTGACATGGTAAAATCACCTCTGGCAACTTCTGCATAAAACCTAACAAGAAATTTGGGTATAAATAGTACATATAATGGTTAAAAATATTTTCCCAAACAACATGGAACTAGTTCTATGGCACTTCTATAACTTTCTGTATTTATTTCACAGTATAAGCAAATCACCAATGTTAGCTTTTCAATACTTTGGCCTGCAAAATATATTTATTTAGCATCTCTTACTGCATTTAGAACAAGTCATATTTTGCAGGCTGCTGCAGTGCTCTTGTGGGCTTTGATGTTCAGCCCATAGAAAAAGCCAAAATAAGGAACAAGCACAAAAGCTCTGACATCAAACAAGATGACCAAGAGGTCTCTGAATTGATGTTCATCTCTGGGTGTGAAATTTAGGTCAGTTTTCATTTTCATCTTCTATGTGGTAAAATTATTTTAAGTATATAATTATGTACTGCTTGAATTTTGAGATACATAATACTATTGGACTGAATCCTGACAAACTTTAGCCCCATTGAAATCAACTGGATCTGTTATCAAAAAGAATAACCAGAATTCTACTGGTACCTGTGTAACCTGCTGTGATTACGTATTGGCAACTGGCAAGATGCTGAGTCAAATACTGCACAATCAGGCACTGAAATGCACTGGTACTTCATCAATTAGCACCACTTAGCTGCAACAAGTTACTAAATAACTCATTCAGTACTAGCAGGATTCTGGCATATACATGTGTATGTGTCTCTCTCTGTGTACGGGACTGTACTAGAACACCATTTGCTTTACATTTGTATCATATTTAAATACTGTACACAGGTCAATTGCCAATTCATTTAGCAAAACAAACACCTCTTCCCCAAAAAAGCAATAAAACAACAGCGTATGACATCCATCTGAAGGCACTGGCTACTATCCAAAGGTCTGCAAAGATTTTTTTTTTAAAAAAGGCAAAACACAGTTGGGCATTTGTTTTCATTTTCATGCCAACAGCCCCCTGCTAAACTGCAAACTACCTTTTAAACAGAGAGTGGCTTATGGTCTTCTTTTCGAAAAATCAGTAGAGACCACACTGCTTGAGTGAAAACTGGAACAAAAAACACCAAGTATTTGTATTGCTTTCCATTAAGGAAGTTATTTCATGCTGCTTTCCCATTACTGTAGAAATTGTGTTGCTTCTATAACCTCAATTGGTTTAATGTCCCAAATGTATAGAGCACTATCAAAACTTAATCAATTACTTCCACCTTTTAAAAAAATTGCACACAGTGTATGTGTGATACTATTGTTTTTTTAATGAAGTTCCTTGTTTACTAATTTGCACCTCAATATCCCGTTTCTACTCATGTACAAGTTAGACTGTTGAGTCTTACTTCCACCTACAGTCTCCCAGGCTTCTCTGAAAGTGGTTTTGCGTCAGAGGATCAGAAAAGTGTATGACCTTGGGATGTAGGAACCAGAAACAGACCTAGCATCTTTTCCAAAAATGCCCCCAGTTGTGAATCCAGAAGCACATTCTGCTAATGTAACAGCACTTTTGGATCCAATCCACAGCTCTAAGTTGATGAAAACCAATGAACAGTCCAATTATTATGCACTATTATTCTAACAATATTTCTGTCTCCTGGATAAGAGGTTTCACAGCTTTTCAAAACTGAAGTCAAATTCTGAAACCATTATCTTTCTTATCTGCAAATAATTCTAGAGAACTGTTAAAAGCAAATTAGTTTTCAGTGTTTCCTTTCTTTGTCAGACACTTACAGTTTCTAGATGCAAATTCTCAGTATAATGTTTTTAAATAGTTTCAGTTGCATGAAAATCAAATGTAAAAATGTAATGACAATCTCTT